TGGGCCATCATGCATGGAAATGCGTGATTGGTGGTCCGAGAATCGAGGCACATGCCCCTTTGAGTCATTACCATGATAAGGGACATGGTTGGTGCATATATGCCTTGAAATGTGCTGCCATGCTTTGCCTTGTCCTCTGTTGCTGTGGGTTGCAGGTTCTGCAGGAATACTCTGCCGACCGGCAGTGTAAAGTGCCGACCGGCAATCTTTTCTCTGCCGACAGCTTCACTTTGTGCCGGTGGCCACATCCCACTGCCGGTGGCAATTCCATGCAGCCAGTGATGTCTCCCAGCATCCAAGGAAGTAGTCTTGAGGTTTTGGCAACCTCTAGAGGAGTGAAAGAAGGAAAACAGAGGCAGCTCACGCATGGCGGTGCATTTCCCGAGGCGATTTACTGTTTTCTTAGTTTAATTAAATTTGCTTAGTTGATTAGGCAATTTGTAATATTTAATTAGCTTGCGTAGTTAATTAATTTGTAATATTTATTTGGTCCCTCCGAGCGAGGGCAAACCTGTAATAAGTGTGTGTGGGTGGTGTGTATGTCTTCCAATCCCCACTTCTTTCTTCCCTTTTATTTACCTGCTTATGATGGTAGATTAGGGCACGTTTAATTTAGCATACCTTATGCTATGCATGCGTGCATCCATACATTTGTACTGCATGCATTAGGCTCGGTACATAACGCTAACTGCATCTGTACGTCAAATTCAAAAACTGAATATGTGATAGTTGTGCATTTCACATGCCATGTTTAGGGTTAGCCGAGCCTGTCTAGATTGCATTGTTGCATGTGTTGCATTAGCCATTTTTAACATGAGCTAGGATCACGCATGTTTGCTAAACTAGTTTATTGTTTTGGCCACGGAGTACGATGTAAGTGTTTACGCTTTAGCATCCCGCATGCGTGTGAATGTTGCAATGAATGTATGCTTGCCATGCGGCTAAATGCTTATATGATAAACTGTTTGAAATGCCTGTGGGTGGAGGTTGGATTGTTTGAAGTTGGAAAAACTCGTTGAAATCCGTATTTTAGCCTACTTGCGGGTAGCCAAATTCCAAAGCCACTTTTTCAAAACCGACGGATATGCAATGCTTATTTCCAAAATTAGGGCAATCTAGTCTATACTTGTTGCTGTGCGCATAACATAGTAATTCTAGGCTAATAAATGGAATAAGAACACGTAATGTTTTTCAAAATCGGATATCATGGTTAGTAGAGGCCGGTCTTCGGACCGGGCGAAAGGGGGTGCTCATAGCTGACCTTCCCCGATCGTACCCAAGCTCCCGAGCCGAGACAACTCCGGTGATGACGGACATGTGGCCTTCGGCACCGAGTCAGGGTTTCCTAAATTCCCCCATTTTAAAATATTTAGGTGGCGACTCTGTATCTGGCAAAGCAGTCCATGTTTGGCACTACTTTTTTCAAAAATCTGTTTCTCAAAACGATTTGCCAGATTTGGACTCTTTGGTTCAGATTAAGAACCGCGACAACCAAATCGCGAGTCCGAACTGTAGTAGCATAAGGCCCCCCTCCGCGGGCACGTCTACATATATAGATTATTTATGAGGGATAAAAAACAAAAGAAAAATTGTACTAGAGTATTTTAGTCAAAATTAATGAGATGTTTGATTATGTTTCTTGTATGGTGGTATTTAAATTTAATTATGTATGACTTATTTTTTTTGGTTATGAACTTATGACTAAAAAAGTATGAAATTATGTAATTTTTTTCTTTTGAGATGAATAATTTTATATATATCAAAATAAAACTTTCAATATTACAATCATTAAATTAAATAGATAACATTTATTGAATGAATAATTTTGATTTCAAAATGAAATAAAATATTACAAAAATTTATATCATAAAATAAAACAAAATGTGGATTATTGATTATGGTAGAACAATTGCATCACTATGGATCAAGTACATCCCAACTAGGTTAACACCTACTAGCCTACCAATCATTTGCATTATACTCCTCCTCAACAATCTAATACAAAAAAATAACGAAATGAAATAGTGAAAAACAAATTGTTGATAATTCATTGGAGTAGGCAGATAATTCATTTGCGTTGCCCAAGGATATGTCATCCAAATCGCTTTGAATTCTCTCATTTTTTCTATAATTTTGTCTTCTTGTAAGCGCATGCATATGATCTCTAGATATGATCAGTGTGGCTCAATCATTTGGGGTGAAAGCCTATTACGGTAATTGATCAGTTCTTGTCCACCTGCATTAAAAGCTATTTATGAAGCAACTATAGAAATAGGAACGGTTAATATATCACGGGCCATCTGTGAAAGTACAAGCCACATAGTTTCATTTTGTTTCCACCAATCCAAAATGTCAAAATTTTCAAAATCATCCACTGTTGGGCTTTCCAAATAACTTTGTAGTTCATAATTACTTACGCTTGTATGTTGAGATATTTTTCTATTTTTTATTGCTTAAAACACACTTAATCATTCACCTTGAGATGAAGCTGCTAGTGTAGTGTGTATTTGTGTATTTGCAGATGCAGCTGCCTGGTATTATTCAAATAATGTTTTGCATGTTTGCATAATAAGGGCAAATTGTTTTTGATTAGCGAAAATACGTTCTAAAAATTTTTGTAAACTAATTTTTTTATACGTAGGATCAATTATTATGACTAAACCTAAAAGATGAGGCAATGGATCCAAATATTTATCAATTTTTTCTTTCATTGCAGTAATAATGGTTACATAATATTCATTACCCATATAGTTTACAAAAACTTTCATTATTTCTGCTAACATATATAAAACAAATGGTGAAGTAGGAATATATATATATATATATATAAGAAAATAATTTTGTTGTAGTATCAAAAACTTTTAGAAAATCTTTATATAAGATTACTTGGCGCAAATTAAGTTCTGTGAGAGTCAGTACTCCTCCTATTGATGTTGTTGCAAAAAATAAATCTATTGTTTCTCTTTGTTTACAAACTCTTTTTAACATATTATACGTTGAATTTCACCTGCTATCTATATCTAAAATTAATTTTTTAAATAGTATACTTTCTTATTGACAAATTTCCGTGTATTGTGAAATTCAATTAGCAGAAGACATAATAGTATCAACCACATTTTTTATTACCAATATAGAAGTCTCATATACATGCATAATTTCTTTAACAATCAAATTTAAAATATGGGCATAGCAACGAATATGAAATAAATCATCACCAACAAGTAATTGTAAAGTTGATTTCAAATGGGTTACAATTAGATTGTAACATGTCACATTATCTAAACTAATGGTAAATATTTTATTTACAAAGCCCACTCATATAATGCATTTCTTATTTTTATACTAAGCGAATAATTACGGTATGGAAGTTCAACTAATCTAAATAAAATAATTATTTTATTTAATTTTTAATCATTATCAATAAAATGTGCAATGATACATTAATATTGTAAACCACTATTTGACCACAGACCAGATGTTAAAAAAAGCTCTTCCATTCAAATTTTTGAAGATGCCAAATAATTTACTTTTAATATCCTCAAATTTCTTTAAAATCTTATTTCTAGTAGTATTTATTGAAAAACTTTGATATTGCGGTGCAAAACTTTCATGAATCGTTTGTACAAAATCGGGACATTCACTAGTAATAAAAGGTTGTTCTTTTTTAATAGTATAATTAATTACATAATTTTATGCACGTATAGGATTATATGAAAATCTTTGCAAATGACAACCAGTTGATGAAGCCCCTAATTGTATTCAATTTCTAATATTAGGTTGTTGACTTTATAAATGTTTGTTAACATACCTTCTTAGATGGCTAATATCCCCCGTAAATGCAACACTAAGTAAATGTGTACAATACTTACATTTTGCTTTAAATGTAATTGTACTATTAGGATTATTTACAGATATTTTTTTGAAATTATCTCAAGCACTACTAGTCGTGCCTTAGATGATAATCCAACTGTTAAAAAAAAAGATATTAGGTACATTAGAAGAAGAATCAACAGATTCATGTTGTTTAGTATATGTAGTAATATCGACATAAACATTAGGAACATTAAGATTCATTGTAGTATAAGTAAAATACTATATAAGAACTAATAATTAATTCAAATAGTGAGTAAACAATAACAACTAATATATGTTAAGAAATAATTAATGTAAAAAAATGAGTAACTAATAAATTTAATTCAACTAATTAATCGATTAGCGAATGCAATACAAAAATTAGCTTCTTTTCATAAAAATTTCTTCTTGCACAATTATAATTGTAATTGCCACTTAGGAATGAGATTTCAAAATTAATTGAAAGAGTTGGGAGAGAGAATTGTTTGTGAGAAATAAAATGGGAGAGGCAGAATGTTTATAGGAGTTTGGAAGGAGGGCAATCTTTTTTTTTTTTTTTTTTTGGGTGGGTAGAAGAAAGGGGGTCAATTTGTAAAAAAAGTCAAATTTTTTTACTATTGGAAGTTAACGGTTATTTGATTGTTTAAATATTATTATTATTATTTTGAATTGAACGTTACTGTGGCAGAGAGCCGTTGGGGGAGTGGGTTGCAAGTAGGGCAAGTAGCCTGCCGGGCAAAGTTTTTTGCGTCGGGTCATGCCAACGGACTAGACCGAGCTTCAAAATGACAGTCTAGGCCCAGGGTCCCGGATTGCGCTAGAGTTCGGGCCGGGCCCACCCCAGGCCGCTGGTGGACTTCGGGCCACCAACAAGCTACGGACCATTTTTACACCCCTAGCAATAGCTTCTGGCTCTGTTACAACCATCACCGTATATATTAAACATTTGCAGGGAATTTCAAACAATAACTTTCACAAATTATTTTTATTTAGGGAAAATTACACTTTTGGCTACTTCCACATTTTAGCATTTAAATTTTTTTTTTTCCCTTTCACTTTCACCCTTCATATTTCAAGTTTTTCTTAATTTACTTCTAAAACTAACTTCTATTCAAAATTAGTCAAAAAATGCCACAATAACTATCACATGACATAAAAAATATATTATTATATTAGAATTTAGAGAGAAATTAGTCTAAGGTCCTTATCTCATTTTTAGTAATGGATAATGTCCACAATATTATTTTGTGATGTCTAAGGTCCCTTAACCTTGACACTCATATATCATAGAGAAATTCTGGTTGTAATCTTTGTAGCAATATCCCACAAAAAGGGCATAATGGTTTTGAAAGTAGTTCTAGCCTTGAAGATGAACAGAGCCTGGGGTGCCATATTTGAAGTCCGTCTCTGACAACACAAGCAAAACCATGAAGTAGTTGTAGTAGTAGTAGGGCAGACCTGCATGGAAGCAGCACACCGGAACAGTTTGTGGCTCAGACTAACTCCATCGCTGCAATTCACACCTCGGCAGAAAGCATCTACTGTAGATTCAAATGGAACAGATGCTGAACAATAGCTACATTGCTCTTCTGCTACAAATTGGTGTACGGAGTGGAGCCCGCTGTTGAAGAAAATACAGATTATAAGATCGTATTGAATAATAAGAAAATAATGTGTGTCAGTAGGCAATATTCAATCAGATAACAAAGCCTGGCACTTCAAAAGTGTCGTGTTCTATAAGCACTTAAACATTCAAAAAAAACAGTAGACCGTCATTACAACCATGTGTTTAACTTTGAAAGAACCATGCGTCTCATGGGAAAGGATTTCCTCTTGAAATTAGAAGAATATTACAAACACACTAAACTACGGAATGCTTCATCAAGCAAAAATTGGATACTGACAATACGGTAGGCAGCCTTGAGTTACTGCTATCAAAATTGTTATAAGGCTCTAAAAGTAGGTACACAACTACTTATCCAAAGGTTGCAATAGTCTTGAGTCAGAATACTTCTTGAGCCACCAGACAACCTTGAAAGTATTTAATCCTACCAAAATAAATTTGTATAAAATGATGAACTTTCAAAATAATGAAAAATATTTAATTCATATAATATAAACAAACAAAAAACACTAAAATGCCTCTCCACAATTATAGCAGATATAACTCCTTGTTGATGGAGGGGCGTTTAAGCAATCAGGTGATACAAGTTTAGTGGAATTCCGAGCCTGAATGTAATGCAAACCGGATTTGGCTCTACAAGGAGCATACATCAAAAGATGCAAACAAAATTCTTCAAATAGTGGCACTAGATGAGAGTGGGGTAGACAAGAGAAAGACAGATGGCAGTAAGAAGGCCAGAGGATCATGAATTCCTCATTCTCAAGAGTGGCTCTCCTAGGTGCAAGGAAGATCAGCCCATGAGAGTGAGCCCCCTGACATTTCGTAGTGCCCAACTGGTCTGAAGACAATAGATGATGAAACCTATGTCAAAAAAAGAGTACTCAATCTGCCAACCTGCAGTCCTATGCTGTTGGGCCAACAGGATTGGACCAGGCATGTCATTAACAGATGATTCATCATAATGTACATCATTATTAAGATTGGTATAGGATGATTTTCACTTTCACTATCCATGGAGATGCCTGTTTTCAATATATAGTTCTATCAAGAGGACAGATCTGAAATCATCAGATTATACAAAAAACAGAACAACATCATTCCATTACACTGGACATCTAAATATTAGCCAAGAAATTGTTATCAGAGTTATCTCTCTTAAACTTCCATTTTGCAACCTTTGTAAATCAATCCTAGCAATATAACTCCTCAGAAAGGTTTAAACTTGAAACGGGAGACAGCAAGTTATAAAGGTTAATAAAAAAAATAAAAAAACTAGAATGTTCAGATGAAAGAGTGGTAATGCAACAAAGTATACTGGGGTATGTTCATGGAAAATGTGTTTGCCAGTGAGGAGAAAATATTTGATTCAAATGACAACAAGAACCAAGCTAACTGAAAATATGGTCTTTGGTAAAGCTGAGCAGCAGAAAGGGTTGTGAAGCAACGAACTGCTGTAGTAAGGCTTCCTTACAATTGAGTTTTCTCTTTCCCATTTTTATCTGTGACAGAAAAAACTCATACTTCTCTGTCCCTTTGAGAATGTCTAATTTTCCTAAACATCTAAAAGACAGCTACAAGGAACTTTGGAAAACTCAATGGTGCCAAGGTTTATGTACTAGGATTTGAGGCATGATAAGGATTTAAGCACTTGCTTGTCAAGCTGATCAAAGTCTGTGGACGAAGCAGAAAAAAAAGATAAACCTCAAAAGCCTATGCTTGCACTGGTTTGATGCTCAGATAAGAATATACCTTAATTTCTGCAAATCAGCACTAAAGCACCTAAAAGGAACAAGTATATATGTTAAAATGAGATGAATGTTTTGAGAGGAATCATGCTTTAATTAAGACATGACTTTGAGGCTAGAGCAATTAACAAATCTTTCCTTCAAATAACAGCAAATCTCAATACTAGAATCATCACGATGACCTTGAACAAGAATATGACAATCAAAACAAATGCCTAATTCCAGAAAAGTAAGAACAGAATGTGTAGCTTTCAATTCTCTGGCCCCATGAAAATCCAAATCCCATCATTTGCTGAGTGTTAAAACAACTACTAACAATATGATCATCATCATCATCATTCGGCGAAAAGATTGATCAACAAGAAGAAACTTACAATATGATCATGTGCACCATATGGGCCAATTTTATCAGATTTGCTGGTAGTGGTAGATATGTCACAAATCAACACATCAAAAGACCCGGATCCTTTGCCAACAGCTAAATGCATTTCCGTTGGGGACTGTATGGGCACAATAAGAGAAACCACAGAGACTGGGACCGAATCAACAGTTGCAACCTATTTAAAAGTATAAATAGCAAAACAAAAAATTTAATTAATTAATTCCCTTATACTATGAGATATGAACAAATGAGATACTAATTTATATAAAATACCGACCTCCTTCAACAGAGAAAACAGAGTAAGATTAACTTTGGAAGACTTCAGCAATTCCCCACTATATCCCAGCCAGATCTTCACACTGGGAAGAACAAAAAAAAAAGAAACAAACTAAGCATTTTTGGTTAAAAAATTAAAAAAAATGAAGCATGCTGAAAATGTTGAAAATTAATCTCCTAATCTAACGGGTTCTGAAAACTTTCTTTGACCACAGGAGCAAGATAAGCAGCTTCATTACTACAGACATTGAAAAGATAAGCAATTACATCTGGATTATTATTCCAGCTGAAGCAACATTCTCCAACCCATCAATAACATTTTTATTTTCAAAATAAACATAAATGTAATGCAGCTGTGATCTTATATATGATACCCCACCAGATTCACCTTGGTCAAACACCTTAAAAATAGATAGCCATACATACACCATTTCCCTCTGATTATAAAAAAACACACTATAATCTTCAAGAAGAATAACAGATTTGCCAAATCATTTTCGCGAAGAAAAAAACCAATGGACAAATAGAAAATTAATTAACATATAGACACTGGTCAAACAACTTAAAAAACAGATTGCCACATCATTTTCCTCTGGTTTAAAAAATAAAAATCAAAATCAAAAAGAATAATAAATCCACCAAATCATTTTCTCACGGAAAGAAGACAAAGAACAACATTAAAGATCAATAACAGACTTCAATAGACTTGTAACTAAACCAAAGAAAGATTAGAAAATATACCTCTAATCTTTTGGTCACAAACCAACCCACACAACCCTTCTCCAAAAAGATATCTAAAAATACTACTGAGATTTCTAAATTTACAAGCCATAATTCATCAAAAAGAAACTAAGGCCTCATTTGGGAACAGGCTTTTTTAGTAACTTTTTGGCTTTTTGGCTAAAATGTGATGTAAAAAAACTAGTATGTTTGGGATAACTTTTTGGCTTTTTACCAAAAGATGTGGAAAAAGTAGAGAGAAAAAGGAATATTTGACTTTTTGCTATGGGTTGTTGGCTTTTTGATTTTTTTAGTAACTTTTTAACTTTTTAGCTAAAAAAGGCACTTGCCAAACAAGGCCTAAACTATTATGATACGAATGTGAATCGAACAAATCTCGCTCTGAAGAACACAAGTCCTTTGAAGGAGCCAGGCTACCAGCTAGCTTAGCTAGAAAAAATCACTTGGTAATCATACTGGAGACCTTTGATCAAAGCCTACTTCCATCTAGATTTGCGGGTTTTATGGTAAAGGAGAACCCCTCCCCCCATTGCCATTAGGCCCAAAAAATATCAAGAAAAAAGATAATAATAATAATAATAATAAAAAAGAGTGCAGGTTCCACATTTAGGAACGGAAAAAAGTCCTATATGAATAAGACATGTTTGTAAGATGTTAAAATTTCATGTTTTTTAAGATCATATCCAGAATCAGAACGAAAAATCCTAAAGTTACATACTGTACCCAAAAAGATATCTAAACTGAATTAATTAACCAAGTAAAAGAAAAGCAAACTTTTCTTAGAAGACTACGCACATAAATAGTGTTAATTACATCCAGATCAACCATAAAACATAATGAATTTGTAAATATGTTGCTAGAGGATCCAGGGGAGCATCTCCCATGGCTTCAAAGTTAACGAATTTATTAGCAAACGAAATCCAAGAATTAATTGATGTACCTGAGTGTGGGGAAATATTTTCTGAGTAACAACACGTAGCAAGGTGACGCCGACGTGTCAGCCGAGGTGCCACGTGTCCAGGTCATGACACCGAGGTTATCTCGGCAAGGCCGAGGTTACCTCCAAAGATATCGGAGTCCGAGATAAGCAGATAAGGCACAAGAGTCCTCGAAAAGGGGGAAGACTTCAGTTAGGAAATGATAAGGCTCTTAGAGAGTTTATCCTAATCCTACTGGAAGTCCAAGATTGATAGTAATCCTAAGTCCATTAGAGCTAGGCTCCTGTTGGGACAAGGATTGAGTTAGCTATAAAACAAAGGCACCCCCATAGGTCTAAGGTACGCAATTTATATTCTGTCTAGTGAGTTAAGCACTATTGATTATCTTTGAGAGATATACTGACTTGATCGTCGGAGTGCCCCCGGGTGGACGAACCATCGCTAGAATCTTCTCTTTCTGTTACAGGTTAGCTAGGTGTCATCTATTCTGCCAGTCTTCTCTAGCTGAATACTGAGTTGGGCAGTGTGATCGGAAAATCACTCACACACTGAGATAAAGAGCAAGAGAGATCGATCTGGTTCAAGAATGATAATGATCTGATCTGATCTGATCTAATCTGAGAATGAAAAAATTAGAGAGTTAATCAGCAGCTTTGACAATGAGAAAGTAGAGAAGACAACAGCTCACACTCGTGCACCGATCAAGAGAATGAAAAATGTACCTGAGATAAGAGCAAGAGAGATCGATCTGGTTCAAGAACAGATCGATTTTGGATCTGTGATTTGATGAAGAACAGCTAGTGCAAAGCACTCGAGCGACAGAGATCCATGAAGAACAGCTAGAGAGTTCGATTGCGAGAGAGAAGAGTGGTGTGTGAGAGAGAGATCTGTGAGAGGGACTACAATCGAACGAGCGAGAGTGAGTTTGTTTGAGAATGAGAGTGAAAGTGACAGTGAGAGCTAGAGCTACAGCTTCAAATCAAGGGTTTTGGACTGAGTTGTGGAAGAGACAGAGAAAGTGAGAGACATTTTGAAAGAGACGGAGCTTTGGATGGTCAGTCAATTGACCTAACACGACGCCGTTTAACTGAGATGAGACAGCGTTTCTTCAAAACGTTGTGTTTAATTAATCTATAATGGCGTTTCATAAATGCCACCAAAAAAACGCTGCAATACGCCCTTTTTCTTGTAGTGATGTTTTCAGAAAAGTACCAAAGGTGTGTTATCTGAAACATCTTGCCTGGATGATTGTGATTTGATTGTTTTGGGTCATTTCATTAAAGATATGAATTTGTATGTTAAAATTTACAGTTTGGATTAGTGATGATTGCACTTTAGATATTATTTCATAATTTATTTCACAATTTAAGTAAAATGATTTGGCATTTTGTTTGGTTCCTAGGAAAAATGTGCAAGTATGGATAAACGAAAAATTTCGAAACAGAAATTGGGCTTCAAAAAAATTAACGTAATTGCTCTTCATGATTTGGATATTTATTTTCTTCTGTTGGGGTTTGCCCTATTTTTCTTGGCAACCAAACAAACTTTATGCATTATGATTCACTTGAAATCCAGAGAAAATCCAGAGAATTTCTCTTGCCTTCACAGAATTTCCTCTAGGAAGGTTAACTTTTGCTTTTTTGTGTGCATTGTGTGTTGAATTTGTTGGAATTAGGAAATTTGATGCAAGTATAGTTTTTGTGCTTGTTTGTAATTGTGGATAGTTTTAATTAATTTTGTAGTTCAGATTGCTAAGTGGCAAGTTCTGATCAACTCTGAGAACACCTATTTTCTCATTCTCTCTCCTCTCTCTTATCAGGGAAAATTTCTCTAGTTTGGTTAAAACAATTTTCTCTGGTTTAAAATTGTGAACAAACATAGAGAAATTTATTTCTCTAGTTTGGTTAAAACAATTTTCTCTGGTGATCTCATATATCTTGACATATGCATGTTAAGTATTTGTATAAATGTTTATTTTTCTGTTTAGTTAGTATTGTTTTCATTGATTTTAAAGTAGCTCCTTTTGGTTTGTAAATGATCTTATGGAATAGTAATCTGCTTGGTGATCTATATGGAATGATAAATAAGTATTAGAATGAAACTGAATTTTGATTTGGATTGTTCATAGAAGTGAATTTCACCTAATTTACGTACTAAAGAGAGTAATTTTCTCTGGCTGGTGATGATAAGGTATTGGAGCTTGAGATTGTGAAGAATTTTGAGAAAGAGGCGTTTTTCTCTGGGAAATCTAGAATTTCTCTAGAGAGTAGGAAATCCAGAGAAATTTCCATAAATTTTCTAGAGTGGGAAGTCCAGAGAAATTCTCTGAATCAAATTTTTTCAGGATCGATGTTGAGGGACCTTAAACATTATGAAAATATTAGATGTCCTTTATGCTATAAAATCTTAATACTAGGGATCCTAAAAAGAAAATCCCCTAGAATTTATGTTTGTGTTAGAGGTGTGAGTCATATATAATAAAATATTTTTATACTACATGACTGTCAATGTATTATTTTCTGTCTAATTTTTAACATAAATTAACTTTAGGAATAAAGTGAAAAAAACATAAAACTTGAAACATGAAGGGCTGCAGTGAGAAAAAAATAAATTTTAAGGGCCAAAGTGAGAAAGTGACTAAACATAAAGGGAGCAAAGTGTAATTTACCCTTTTATTTATTGATGTGATATGATGTGGTTAGGCCTAGAAAGGCCATGACCCACTATGAACAACCCAAGCCTACCACTTAGGGCCCAAGACATAACCCAACTGATAAGGCCCAGCACAGCCGGAAATCAACATGACATGAAGGACCAATGATATTCAGACACGTGGCACGTAAAGGGCAAGCCACATTAGCAGACAAAGATCTGCAAAGTTATTGCCACTGCACATCGCCATTAATGCAGCCTCTCACAGCATTTATTACGACAACACCTCTCCGTCGAGATGGCATGCCCTCACCCTGAACAAGGTAAGCTACAGCATAGACTTGGAGCCAAGGTGACAGATAGGACGGGACAACGAAATGATTACCAAAGGATATAAGCAGACGTTGAAGACAAGAAGAAGGTTAAGCTTTCTATCTCTAATTCATATCTCTCCAATCCACTTCTCTCTCTCTAACTTGCTCGTCAGAGGGTTCGCTGGGGGACTCCCCGTTCCCCGTTGAACTCCTGTGCAGGTTCTCAAGTGGGCTTGCCCATTCAGATATCGGTTGGAGAAGCACGGACCAGTCCGACCCATCCCCTCTGGAACCTGTTGTATTGTAACTATATTATAAGTTGGCGCCGTCTGTGGGAACGCTTTGCTCCTCGCGCTAGTTGTGTTCACTGTCGCCGGAGACCCTGTTCCAATAACCCTTTCTTGCTACCCATCGAAGTGTATGGTCACGACTAGATCCATGGCTTCCCACCAAAATGCTGCCGACCACCAAGCCAACCCCCCCAATCCAAACAACCCACCACAACATTTCATCGAGCTTACCAACAGCATTAATCGCATGGCCGACCAAAACCAAGCCCTGATTAATGCCCTACTCCAAAGAAACCTTCCTATGCCCCCCCATCACCTCTTGGTATTCCTCCCAACCACGAACTAGCCCCGAGCCATACTATCCCGCAGCCTAATCCACCCAACAGGGAAGGCTTGCAACCCCTTTCCCCAGGTATAAACCTGCCACCCCGGGGCCCATAATCATCGATCCCGGCACCAATCCTTGAAGGAGAGGCCAACAACGTCCAGCCCCCGTTGCCCTCTGGAGGCGACCACATCCCTCTCTAGAACGCGGAACTCAGAGCCATGAAGCTCCAACTCCAAGGGGTCATGCAGAACAACCAGCATAAACCCTCTACCACAGCAAACTCATCATTTGTCGCCTCCATCCGGGACAAACCTCTACCCCCCAAGTTCAAGATGTCCACAATCGACTCTTTTGATGGTACGACGGACCCAGTCGACCATCTGGAGACCTACAAAACCCTTATGATCCTCCATGCATTCCCTGACAAGATCATGTGTCGAGCTTTCCCCGTCACACTGAAGGGGTCAGCTCGGCTGTGGTTTAGCCAGTTACCAGCAGACTGCGTCTCCACTTTCCAGCATCTCAGTGACTCCTTCCTCAGCCATTTTATTGGAGCCCAGTGCCAACGATGCTCGGCAACCCAACTCCTCAACATTCGGCAGACCGAGGGGGATCGCTACGCAGTTTCGTTACCTGCTTCAATATCGAGGCCCTGTAAGTAGCGGAAAATGATGACAAGGTCATCCTCACTGCTTTCATGGCCGATCTGCGGTCGTCCGACTTCCTGTTCTCCCTCTCTAAAAACCCCCCGACCTCCATGGCAACTCTACTCACGAAAGCCCAAAATACATGAATGCTGAGGACTCCCTAGCCGCCCGGCAAGATCCAATAACCAAAAATCCGACGCCCAGAGAAAAGAGAAAAGACTCAGAACCTAGAAACACCTAGTATAATAGCTAAACACAACACTATACCAACCGACCCCCTCGAGCTGACCGGTCGGCACCAGCCTGACCGTCCGGTCGGTTTGAGCGGTACACACCCCTTAATTCCCCCATGGAACAAGTCCTCAATCAGATCCAGCGGGACTACCCCCTCAAATGGCCCCAACCTTCACGAACCCCTTCCAACCGGAAAGACCAGTCCAAATATTGTTGTTTTCACTAGGACCATGGCCATAACACCAATGAATGTGTTAACCTCAAAGACCAGGTCGAGACCCTAATACGTCACTGACACCCGCCCTCAGCAGAGGCAAAGAACTGAGCCCCTCAGAAACAACCGCCGGCGCACCCCTCCCCGGCAGCTAGCCCAACCTAACCAAGGCCATGATCGCCCTCCACAACAGCCTTGGCCACCAGGTAATCCCCCCCACCTGTTGGTGAAATTAGAGTTATTTCAGGTGGCCTCGCTTGTGGAGGACAATCCCACTCAGCTCAGGGCTCAGACAAAGCAGTTACCACGGTAGACCGACCCCCCAAACAGCCCAAGCAGTGGACCGTGCCCGTCACCTTCACGGATGCCGACTGTACAGGCATCCGTTACGCTCATGACGACCCTTTCGTCATTTCTGCCCTCCTCTCCAACTACAAGGTCAGGCGAGTTCTCATTGACAACGGCAGTTCTTCAGACATCATCTTCCTCAACTGCTTTCGCCAGCTCAAAATCGGGGAGGAAAGTCTGTCTCCCCTCTCCAAACCCCTTTGGTCGGTTTCACTGGCGACCGGATGACCTCAATCGGCTCCATCGATCTTCTCATCACAATCGGTGAGTACCCACGGTAGATTACAAAGTTTCTCACTTTCCTTGTTGTCGATTGCCCATCCACCCACAACATCATCCCTGGCTACACCGCCCTAAATGCTTTTCAAGTAATCACGTCAACTTATCACCTCGCCATTAAGTTCCCTACTGATCTAGGGGTCGGGACAGTGAGGGGAGAGCAGACCGTGGCCAGGGAATGTTATGTCGCCTCACTCAAAGAAGTCAAGCTGAAGGAAGCCATGATCATTGACTTGGCGTCTGAGAAGAGGATGAGCTGGTCAGAGGGGAACCTGTGGAGGAGCTCGTGGAGGTTCCCATCGACCCCACCAACCCAACGAAAACTGCCAAAATCGGCAGCCAGCTATCCCCCCAAGCAAAGGCCGACCTTATTGCCCTCCTGACCAAGCACAATGATGTCTTTGCCTGGACCCATTCAGACATGCCGGGTATTGACCCCTCCTTCATAACCCATCGCCTTAGCATTGAACCCCATTTCCGACCTTACCGCCAGAAGCAGCGCATTTTTCATCCTAAACGCAATACTCTTATTGCCACAGAGGTTGACAAGCTCCTTGAGGCACAATTCATCAAGAACGTGGACTACCCCAGATGGTTGTCCAATGTGGTCCTAGTCTGCAAGAACAATGGCAAATAGCGACTCTGTGTCGACTACTCTGACCTCAACCGAGCTTGCCCCAAAGACAGTTATCCCCTTCCCCGCATAGATCT